ACCCGAAACTTTGGAGAAAAATCCCAGAAGTAGCAGCGGATGCCCCTTCTTTCCTTTTGTGCAGTAAGTCCCATAGGGAGGCCTGTCAGCGCCAACCCGCATGGCTCCATGTATCGCAGCCTGAAGGTACCTTAACCTGGATGGATCTGGACAAACTCGGTACCATTTTGAAGCGGATGAATGGGCCAACCCGCATGCAAATCGGCAGGTCGATAGACCCAAAACTTTTGGAGAAAATCCCAGAAGTAGCAGGAGCCTTCTTCGCATGCAGTAAGTCCCATAGGGAGGCCTGTCAGCGCCAACCCGCATGGCTCCCATGTATCGCAGCCTGAAGGTACCTTAACCTGGATGGATCTGGACAAACTCGGTACCATTTTGAAGCGGATGAATGGGCCAACCCGCATGCAAATCGGCAGGTCGATAGACCCGAAACTTTGGAGAAAATCCAGAAGTAGCAGCGGATGCCCCTTCTTTCGCTTTTGTGCAGTAAGTCCCATAGGGAGGCCTGTCAGCGCCAACCCGCATGGCTCCCATGTATCGCAGCCTGAAGGTACCTTAACCTGGATGGATCTGGACAAACTCGGTACCATTTTGAGAGCGGATGAATGGGCCAACCGCATGCAAATCGGCAGGTCGATAGACCCAAAACTTTTGGAGAAAATCCCAGAAGTAGCAGCGGAACCGCATGCAAAGTCCATAGGGAGGCCTGTCAGCGCCAAACCGCATGGCTCCCATGTATCGCAGCCTGAAGGTACCTTAACCTGGATGGATCTGGACAAACTCGGTACCATTTTGAAGCGGATGAATGGGCCAACCCGCATGCAAATCGGCAGGTCGATAGACCCGAAACTTTTGGAGAAAATCCCAGAAGTAGCAGCGGATGCCCCTTCTTTCCATTTTGTGCAGTAAGTCCCATGGAGGCCTGTCCGGCAGCGCCAACCCGCATGGCTCCCATGTATCGCAGCCTGAAGGTACCTTAACCTGGATGGATCTGGACAAACTCGGTACCATTTTGAAGCGGATGAATGGGCACAACCGCATGCAAATCGGCAGGTCGATAGACCCGAAACTTTTGGAGAAAATCCCAGAAGTAGCAGCGGATGCCCCTTCTTTCGATTTTGTGCAGTAAGTCCCATAGGGAGGCCTGTCAGCGCCAACCCGCATGGCTCCCATGTATCGCAGCCTGAAGGTACCTTAACCTGGATGGATCTGGACAAACTCGGTACCATTTTGAAGCGGATGAATGGGCCAACCCGCATGCAAATCGGCAGGTCGATAGACCGAAACTTTTGGAGAAAATCCCAGAAGTAGCAGCGGATGCATCCTTCTCTTCGCATTTTGTGCAGTAAGTCCCATAGGGAGGCCTGTCAGCGCCAACCCGCATGGCTCCCATGTATCGCAGCCTGAAGGTACCTAACCTGGATGGATCTGGACAAACTCGGTACATTTTGAAGCGGATGAATGGGCCAACCCGCATGCAAATCGGCAGGTCGATAGACCCGAAACTTTTGGAGAAAATCCCAGAAGTAGCAGCGGATGCCCCTTCTTTCGATTTTGTGCAGTAAGTCCCATAGGGAGGCCTGTCAGCGCCAACCCGCATGGCTCCCATGTATCGCAGCCTGAAGGTACCTTAACCTGGATGGATCTGGACAAACTCGGTACCATTTTGAAGCGGATGAATGGGCCAACCCGCATGCAAATCGGCAGGTCGATAGACCCGAAACTTTTGGAGAAAATCCCAGAAGTAGCAGCGGATGCCCCTTCTTTCCATTTTGTGCAGTAAGTCCCATAGGGAGGCCTGTCAGCGCCAACCCGCATGGCTCCCATGTATCGCAGCCTGAAGGTACCTTAACCTGGATGGATCTGGACAAACTCGGTACCATTTTGAAGCGGATGAATGGGCCAACCGCATGCAAATCGGCAGGTCGATAGACCCGAAACTTTTGGAGAAAATCCCAGAAGTAGCGCGGATGCCCCTTCTTTCGCTTTTGTGCAGTAAGTCCCATAGGGAGGCCTGTCAGCGCCAACCCGCATGGCTCCCATGTATCGCAGCCTGAAGGTACCTTAACCTGGATGGATCTGGACAAACTCGGTACCATTTTGAAGCGGATGAATGGGCCAACCCGCATGCAAATCGGCAGGTCGATAGACCGAAACTTTTGGAGAAAATCCCAGAAGTAGCAGCGGATGCCCCTTCTTTCCATTTTGTGCAGTAAGTCCCATAGGGAGGCCTGTCAGCGCCAACCCGCATGGCTCCCATGTATCGCAGCCTGAAGGTACCTTAACCTGGATGGATCTGGACAAACTCGGTACCATTTTGAAGCGGATGAATGGGCCAACCCGCATGCAAATCGGCAGGTCGATAGACCCGAAACTTTTGAGAAAATCCCAGAAGTAGCAGCGGATGCCCCTTCTTTCGATTTTGTGCAGTAAGTCCCATAGGGAGGCCTGTCAGCGCAACCCGCAGGGCTCCCATGTATCGCAGCCTGAAGGTACCTTAACCTGGATGGATCTGGACAAACTCGGTACCATTTTGAAGCGGATGAATGGGCCAACCCGCATGCAAATCGGCAGGTCGATAGACCCGAAACTTTTGGAGAAAATCCCAGAAGTAGCAGCGGATGCCCCTTCTTTCCATTTGTGCAGTAAGTCCATAGGGAGGCCTGTCAGCGCCAACCCGCATGGCTCCCATGTATCGCAGCCTGAAGGTACCTTAACCTGGATGGATCTGGACAAACTCGGTACCATTTTGAAGCGGATGAATGGGCCAACCCGCATGCAAATCGGCAGGTCGATAGACCCGAAACTTTTGGAGAAAATCCCAGAAGTAGCAGCGGATGCCCCTTCTTTCGCTTTTGTGCAGTAAGTCCCATAGGGAGGCCTGTCAGCGCCAACCCGCATGGCTCCCATGTATCGCAGCCTGAAGGTACCTTAACCTGGATGGATCTGGACAAACTCGGTACCATTTTGAAGCGGATGAATGGGCCAACCGCATGCAAATCGGCAGGTCGATAGACCCGAAACTTTTGGAGAAAATCCCAGAAGTAGCAGCGGATGCCCTTCTTTCCATTTTGTGCAGTAAGTCCCATAGGGAGGCCTGTCAGCGCCAACCCGCATGGCTCCCATGTATCGCAGCCTGAAGGTACCTTAACCTGGATGGATCTGGACAAACTCGGTACCATTTTGAAGCGGATGAATGGGCCAACCCGCATGCAAATCGGCAGGTCGATAGACCCGAAACTTTTGGAGAAAATCCAGAAGTAGCAGCGGATGCCCCTTCTTTCGCTTTTGTGCAGTAAGTCCCATAGGGAGGCCTGTCAGCGCCAACCGCATGGCTCCCATGTATCGCAGCCTGAAGGTACCTTAACCTGGATGGATCTGGACAAACTCGGTACCATTTTGAAGCGGATGAATGGGCCAACCCGCATGCAAATCGGCAGGTCGATAGACCCGAAACTTTTGGAGAGAAAATCCCAGAAGTAGCAGCGGATGCCCCTTCTTCCATTTTGTGCAGTAAGTCCCATAGGGAGGCCTGTCAGCGCCAACCCGCATGGCTCCCATGTATCGCAGCCTGAAGGTACCTTAACCTGGATGGATCTGGACAAACTCGGTACCATTTTGAAGCGGATGAATGGGCCAACCCGCATGCAAATCGGCAGGTCGATAGACCCGAAACTTTTGGAGAAAATCCCAGAAGTAGCAGCGGATGCCCCTTCTTTCGCTTTTGTGCAGTAAGTCCCATAGGGAGGCCTGTCAGCGCCAACC